CAAGACAGAGCATGTGGCTAAATTGAGCCAAGAGGATGAAGAGGTGAATGGGCATGTGTATAGGACTGCTTTCCTCCACAGTTTACTGCATTCAGCTGTTAGTGTGGACTTTGAGTTAAATTGCTTTCACTTGGTAGTCAAACCCAACTGTATCAAGGAAAACTGTGTATAAACTGATTGATTTCCATATTCTATTGACATACTTACTTGCCAATTATGTATTAATTGGTTCATATTAGAGAAATATAAAATGCAGCAAAATAAACTGCCTTTGATTCTTTGTTTCTTTAACCCAGTAAAATAACTTAAACCAATTAAATATATTATACCATAGTTATGGCTCCCATATTTGTGGAGATTGTGCCCAAGGTATCCTATCATACTCATTAGCTTCAAGAGTAAATATAGTAGAGGCTTGAAGTACACTTTAAATGAGACAATTTAAGGCTTATGGGCTGTAAATTAAAGCCAATTAAATGAAACTTCATTTAAATAGATCACTCTGAACTGAAACATTTAGTGCACTTTTTCTTTGCAGAAAATTTTACCAGCAAAACATAACATCTCATTTTCAATGGTACTCATCAAACAGACCAACATCAGATCATTATCTACACTGAAGTGTCATCGTGCTCAATTCTCTCATGAGTCCACTCACTTTAGATAATTTCTTCACTGTTGACAAAAATCCCATAGTCATTTTCTAATCAAATCTAATTGTCCTATTACTTACTGTACTCTCTAATCCTATTTCAGCATATTCAGCATTGGTACTCTCCAGAGATCAGATGGTAAAATGACCTAGAGGAAGAACTCTAAGAAAAGAAACTAGAAAACTAATAGAGTGGTTAAAAAAAACACAGCACTTTAAGCCAGTCAATACCTAGTTGCAAAAGTTAGAACAAGACGATGAACCATTCATTTATAGCTGAAATTTTTAACTTGTCCTTCGGATTACATCAGGATTATAGAAATGGACTTCCAAGGGCCTGTGAATGCTCTGGGTTTTGAGCAGAATTATCTGCTTATATGTATTTTTAGGTAGAGGGCATATATTTCTTATTGTAATTTCAATCAATCTTAACCCTCTAAAAATATTAAAACCACTCATACAGAACAAAAGCATAGGTAGCTAAAAATGACACTCAGGATAGTTAGGAATGTATTTCTTTTTAAAAACATTTTTAAGGTTTATTTATTTATTTTTGAGAGACAGAGTGCGAGTGGGGGAAGGGCAAAGAGAAAGGTAGACACATAATCCGAAGCAGGCTCCAGGCTCTGAGCTGTCAGTACAGACCACGATGCAGGGCTCAAACTCACAGAGTGCGAGATCATGACCTGAGCCAAAGTCAGAGGCTTAAACGACTGGGCCACCCAGGCACCCAAGTAGGAATGTATTTCTTAAAGATAAACAGATGACTTTTTGATAAAACAAATTATCTAATACCATCTTAAGTGAAATAGCATTTGGGTTAATATTTTAATATCTATAACAAAAATAATTTGTATTTGTCTTTAATACATTTTTTAGAGTTCTGCATTTGAAAGTCGTAGTGTCGAATATTTGAGTAAATAGCAATATTTTGAATAAAAAGACCCAGCTACATTAAGACATTTTAGTTTAGAAAAAATAATCAAACCAGTCAGGTATGACATTGATTTCCATGAAAAGCTGAGGGTGACATGTTGGCCTAATAAGTTTGAGAGATGATCCCACCATAGATAATTTCAGAGCAAGAAGACAACTAGAGCCAGGGTAGCAAGAATTCACAGCAAACAAAATTTCCTCTGAGAAGAATCCTGAGCTGCCTTGTTAAAGAAATTCTTGCTTTTACCTCCTTTGTGACACCCTCATTCAAAAGTATATTCATCAGAGTGGGGCTGTCATGTTCTTTAAATTTCTATAGTTACCATGTTTCTGAACAAGTTAGATAATCAACACTTCCACTCTCTGACATAAAAAAAAGTCCTAGTCATATAAAGGACACTATCTACAATATAAAAGAAGAAACAGAGAAACAAAGTATTTTGAAATAAAGCTGATATGTAGTTCCATAAATTGAAAATTTCTTCTGCTAGCTTAACCTTTATTATTGAGTCATAATAAATTATATTCTATCTTCATAGCTAACTACATGATTGTTTTTTCTATAGTTAAGCATCTTATTAGAAACAAGTTTAGGAGTGCCTGTGTGGCTCAGTCAGTTAGGTGTCTGACTTCGGCTACAGTCATGATTTTATGGTTCGTGGGTTTAGGCCAAGTGTTGGGTTCTGTGCCGACAGCTCCGAGCCTGGAGCCTGCTTCAGATTCTGTGTCTCCCTCTCTCTCTCTGCCCCTCCCCCACTCACACTCTGTCTCTCTCAAAAAAAGCATTAAAAAAATTACTTAAAAAAACAACAAATTTATAGAATAGCCATATATACCCAAAAGGTAGTTAACATTTTGAGCCAAAAAGTAGAAAAATAAATGTATTTATTTGCTTATTTTTAATTTCTTTACTTCATTTCTGATTTTGTGAGGACATTTATATGCGGACACACATTACATCAGGCAATTAAAAGAAAATAACATACCAATACCTGAGAAAACAAAATTGCAGTAGTTCAGGCAATAGAGAAAGAACACAAATATAAAAGCCTTAATATTTTACACAGGTACTAATTTTTAGTTGTTAATTTGACTTTGACATCCCTTGTAACTAAAAGAAAAGGCAAATGGAATCACTTACACGATGTACATTGTATATAAGAGGAGAACATAACACTTACCTTGCGATGGTTTAAGTGAAGAGAAGTATGAAAGTTCAAGTCATGAGATTGGCATTAATAGAAATGTTTTTAGGGAGAACTTATATATAGAATAGCAAGTGATATGTTGGGCAAGTCCAAGTCTTTATTAGCAACCCTATAGTACACTTAGAACAGGACATATAAACTGAAGACTGTTTCATACAGAATATTTGCATATAAGCTGAAAATGTAATGTCAAAGCATAGTAAAGGCAATTCTGCTTGGGGGAGGTCTAAAAAATGCCACCCACATATTTATCTTTCTAATAATTTGGATTTCTCTGAAAATAAATCCTAGACTATCCAGAAGTATGGATTAACCATGTGCACATTAGAAAAGTATTCATGTGTTTCATATCTTTCAACAATTTTTTAAAATAAATATTGAGCAGCAGGCCAATGCTGCAAGGACCTGAAATGCAGATGTTCTGGATTTTATCTATTTTGCTATCATTCATCACTTCTTTGGCAGTAGAGAATAAAATATATATCATTAATCTCTGTGCTTCTATAAAACTTGGTAGAACTTGCCATGTTGTCTTGCAATGTATCTCATCAAGGTCAGAGACCAAAGATCATCAGTCTTTGTATCCTAGCATCTAGCAAAGAAAGTGGAACATAATGGATTTTTAATTCATTATGCTTTCCTGAATGAGTCATTTGCAGAGTTTCCAGAACATCACCACCATTCATATAGCTTGAAAAAGATCAAGATCATGCACTAACACATACCTAGAAACCTAATATATAGTAAAAACTTTCCTTTGGCGTCAATTCAAAAGCATTAACTAAAAGCACTGTATCAACTGATGTATAAATGGATTTTTTAAAAAACAAGAAAACCATCCAGAGGAATCTTCAAAATCTAAGTATACATGTGTCATGTCAGGGACACAACAGATCAGCATTTACTCAAATGATCAATGAAACAATGGCCCTATCCCACTTTTTAAACTGGGTAAGAATTAGATATGTAACATTCAGATTTGTAAAATCAGTATCATGAGCATAAAATCATGACAACAAAACCTTGGACTGAGGCCTATACATAAGCAGTGAAATCATATAATTTAGTTTCTTTCCATGAGCTTGGATTACAAAAAGAATGGGTGATTGCAGGTTATACTGTAAAAATATAGAGTGAAATAAACAGTGGTATGTGTCCGGACAATGCCAAATCAAGATCAAATGACTAAATTTATAAAGTTTGCTATAGTTGTTAATATTGTACAAACAAAATGGTTAACCTCTGAACTTATGTGAATAGAATATTCTTACAGCAGTCTAGAAACATACATAGAACAATAGAAGGAAGAAAACGACCTCCTTTCCCATACTCTATGAGTGACCGCATTGCCATAATACAATCTTTCTAGAACCTTGCTACTTGAAGCGTGGTTCCTGAACTAGCAACTTCTGGCATCACCTGGGATCTTGTTAGAAATGCAGAATCTGAGACCCAAACTCACACTTGCTGAGTGAAAACCTGCATTTTAGCAAGATCCTGAGATGATTCATACTCATACTAAATTTCAAGAAGCACTGCTCTGGCATAGTACCAAAATAAGATGTGGACCTTAGCAAGCTTTTAAAAAAAGCCAGTTAAAACCTTGGTTAGGAACATGTTACTGGAATAACTTTTGCAGTCTATTGGTGGGCAGTTAGTTCACCTATATTATGGGGTGTTTAATGGTTTTAAATAAAAAAGAATAAAAATTTTTGAGTATAGTCTTATATGAACTACAAGTTATACATTAAGAATTTTTTATAAGACCATGAAATTTCCTGAATACATAAATATTCTGAATGACCATTACCTTGTCTTCACTTTATTATTGAATTCTAACACACCTTTACATGATGTGTTTTCAGCATTTTTCTACACAGTGACCCAATTCTGCACCTACATTTTCCCCAATAGCTGACAATTTAATAATTTCCAAGGTCAATAATCAAATTTTTAGAGAATCTACAGGTGTTTGTAACTTGAAGTTTCTGGATATAGTATCCAAACATGAATAGAATTGGAGCCTTATAACTGAGTAGGACAACACCCCTAAGTTAGGATGAGGTGAAAGGTTTTCTTGTTGTTGTTTTTCTTTTGTTTTTGTTTGGCTTTGCTTTCATTGAGGTTTAAGTTTAGATTCTATGTATTTAACACTTTAGAAAATGTGCCTTGCAACTACATATGGGCTTTAATGGAGCATTCCTCTCTTGGTGTGTTCTATCTACTAGGTAGGTCTTACAACGCAATTTTTCAGCACTACGGACAGCGCCTAGACTCCTGCCATAAAATGCGGGGGTGGGGCGGCGAGCTAGGTTGGGAGCTTGGGGGGAAGGATCCGGTTGGGTTTGCGTAGAAAAGAAAAGGTGAAGAGTAGGAGAAAACAACTCCAAATGACGCATGCAGTCCCCACTTAAACCAATACACTTTCATTCTCGTCTTTCTCTAATCAGATGAGAAGAAAAGAATTTAGCGTCTATTCCTTCACTGAGACTGCGGTGAACGAGCACAACAAAATGCCCGCGGTACAGATGCTGCTGCAGAAGAGAGGAAAACAAGGATTTTAACAATAAATTAATTAAATTGGCGATGAACTCCGATTGCTAACCTGCAGTGATATGAGTGAAAATGAGCACCTATTTTTTTTTCTTTTTAGCAAAACAGAATAGATAGAGCCTGTTGCTGCTGCGGTGGCCGATTCCCTTCCCCCTTCTCATTTCCCAACTCTTCTCGGTCTCACAAACACACACGGTCAGACGCCTTCACATATACGCGCGCGCGCGCCAATGTTTACACTCTGCCACAACGAATAAATCAGGCACATTTTCCTGCAAATACACGCGCGCGCACACGTACTTCACGAGCGCCCACGTCCTCTATCTCTCACCGACAGATATAGATATTTACACACGTAGGCCAGGAGAGCGCTAACCACGGTACTGAGACTCCACGCAGGTTCCCAGGACACGCCTTTTACATTGTTACCGAACCGATCAGCGAACACGGACAAACCTGCCAACACTTAAGTCTACTGGCTGGATTTCATCTCCATGGCAACAAGCATGGAAGGTGAGACATCGCTGCCTGCGAAGTAACTTTCTCCCCCTACCCTCCGCATTAACTGACAGGGTTCCAGTGCAGGTTCAGATGAGAAGCATGTCCTCATTCTCTTGTATTTATGAAGCTAAGGAGTGGGAAAGGAGGCTGGGGAGGGCGGGGGTGAGGGGGTGGTGAGGTGGGGGCAGGGGCGGGGGGTAGGGGGGCTCACGAATGGATCCTGCAGGTCTGGTCAGTTCAAATTCTAAAGGAGGATACAGCCCTGATATTTCTGCTGGTGCTGCTGCCAAAAAGAAAAAGTAAATTTAAAAAAAATGTGTGTGTGCAGTTAGCTTGCTGATTCTATGCTTCTTTAGTTTAACATGTCCAAAGAGAACTGGAGACAAACAAGGCAGAATGATAATGACAGTCTACATTTCTCTGGTGAGACATTTTGAAAATTTTCAGACCAGATTTCCAGTGTTTTGAAAAGATCGAATGTCAGAGTCCTTGGGGAGCTATGTGAAGATTCTCTTAAGAGGGAAGTTCTCTTAAGGTTGAAATCTGAAAGGTTGGTGGGGGAGGGAGGGTGCAATTCTGGCAGATCCTGAGGTTTTGGATTTCTGGGAAGGCCTGAAATGTTTGCACTTGATCATGATGAAGACATCTGGGTTTGTAATTTAAGGTTTTCCTTTAATTCCCACACATTCCATTCCTAATGATTAACTAGCTCTGTGCAGAAGCAGACTGAACAGTGTTTCTTTTTCCCTGTTTACTTTGAATAGGATTTAATAACCTTGATGTAGAGTGGGGGATGTGTCTATGTGCGTATGGGAGGATTCATTATTTTTTAAGCCTGATATTTCTTATAGTTCTCATTCCATGAAATCATGAATATCCATATTATGAGCATTAAAGATTACTATATCTGATAACTAACATCAAAATACTTTTCACCAAGAACACCATATTCCAATATAATAGCTGTTATTTCAGATAAACTGTTTAGACTATCATTAATAGATAAATAAACCAAAGGAAAAAACCTGTTGATTAAAATGCTAGAGGTTCTTTTTTTAATGGGCATATACTCTTCAATATTGGTTTCTGCAGTTGCACATTGTTGCATGCATACTATATGTTTCTAAAAAGTGAAATTATATCTTTCTAATCAGTAAGCTTATTCATAGAAGAAAAAAGTAACACAACATTTACATGTATGAAGGGCTATATATATATATTAGGTATAAAAATACTATTTGCTTGACTACTCACAATGGTATCACTTGTATGACTGATCAAAGATAGACTTTGTTTACTGGTTACTAACTACAAAGCCATTGAATGAGATTTTGGCCTTTTGGTCTACCGGTATACTGTTGGCCCAATCCTATGACTCATCAGGACTTAGAAATCCCAGCTCCTGATAATTGCCATGAAGGAAATGATGTACTTTCAACTCAATTGCTCATTTCTAAAGGACCTAAATGTTGATCTTTTAACCCATATTTTATGGTGTAGGATGTTTAAAATGACTCTTATCACATAATTCTACATCTACTCTTTTTTTGAAAATGCATTTCTTTTTTCTCAACAGGGCTTTTTTATCATGGTTTTGTAACCTCATGGTCTGAATGTCTCTCATTTTTCTATTTCCCAGTAAACAAGATATTAAGATGATGTTTTCCCTCTGAGGTAGGCATTAAAATGTCTGTTTTACAGAGCATACTGATTTGTTTTGCATTTCCATCTCTTCCATGGACTAGAGAAAGTAAAATGTATCTTTTATCCACATTGTTGAGTAATTTTGGATATCTTGTTAATTATGAAGAAATCAGTGTTGTAACTGGAGACTTCTATTTATTTTTAACAATATTTTGTTACTAACAATACTTTTTAATCTAATTATGCTCTATATCAATAGAAAGGTACAAAGTTCATTGCACTTAGCAGTATATTCTCAAAAATTTTCTACCTGCTGTTGAAAGTATAAGTTATTCATTTCACAGAGCAAGTAAAATGGAAAGTTTGGGCAAACGTTTGAAAAATTTAGGCCTACAAATACTGGTATTTCAGTTGCTACACATATGGCTTAAATTACTAAGAGCATCTATTTGCTGAACACATTGTTAGGCAATTGCTTAACTTTTTACTAATTTGCTTGTCTGTCCACAGCCTACAGCAATGGCCAGGCTTTTTTTTCAAGCTTTAAATATTATCCTTTTAGTTGTTTTTCTTGACTTGTATTTGGTTTTCATCTTTAGCATAAGGCAGAATTTTCAAATGTAAATAAAAGTCCAAGTTCTTCTTTTTAAGATCTTAATAAAACCTCTGTTATTTGTCACCCAATTTTTGGTTAAAAATGGAAATTTCCTAGTTCTTTGAACCCCAAGTGTATTTACTTGGCTCTACTTTTAACAGCTGAATATATAATCCTGTCCTTATTATTGGAAATAAGTAGTCTAATGGTCTAAACTTATGCACTTAAATTTTTGTTGAAGTAAAGGAAGTGAAACTTCCTTTTTGTCAAGTTTCTTTTAGCATTGGGCTTCATTTATTCATTACCCATCACTCCAAAACCCTCTTCAATTATTGTCCTCCCTGGACATTCAACTGAAGCTTTAAAAGCGGTGAAAAAAGTCTGAATGCCAAACCCAGGGTCCTGTTTTTCATCACTTGTTTCCATCACCACTGAAGAATTCAACACTGTTTACCAGCACCTTCAGAAACTCTAGCTTCCTTTGTTCCAAGTGAACTTCCTACTGCAGATTCACTTAGAACTCTGATCATTCCTTACACAACTCTACTAGCAGATCCTGTTTTCTTCTTGTAAGAGAGGGATTCTTTGAGGCTCATTGCTAGGCTTCTTTCATTTTCAATCCTTTTTGGTAACTGCAAATAGAACATTAATGGGATGACATAAAAATTGCTTTCTGGATCCATCCAGAATAAGTAGATCTGGCTTCCTCCAGGATAACTCTTCAAATATTAGAATACACCTGTCATCTTCCTTGGTCTCCTCTTTCCTGAAAAACTCAGCAATTCTTTCCTTCTCTTAAGTTTTGATCTGTAAATGCTTCTATGTATTAAATTGTGTCCTGGAGGCATTCTTCTCCACAAACTCTATTTGGCAATAATATCCTTAAGATGTTTTCCCCACCAGTGATTTTATGCGGGACAAAATGAGCTGGATTAATTTATTTAAAACCGTTTATTGAGGGGTGCCTGGGTGGCTCAGTCAGTTAAGCGTTGGACTTTTGATTTTGGCTCAGGTCATGATCTCATGGGTTCTTGAGATAGAGCCCTTGTGTGGATCTGCGCTGACAGTGCAGAGCCTGCCTGGGATTCTCTCTCTCTCTCTCTCTCTCCCCCTCTCTCTCTGCCCCTCCCCCACGAGTGTGCACATGCTCTCTCTCTCTGTCTCAAAATAAATAAACTTAAAAAAGAAAAAAAAAAAACCTGCCTGTTGATTGATGTCTATTATGTGCCAGATGTAAACACCACAAATTCACTAAGACCAGAACTAAACCCTTTGTTTACTAAATTTACACTTTGCTTGTATTTTCTTTATTTTGGTTGATGAAAACATTGCCTTTACACTTGTTCAGGCTTAAAAGAGTGGAGTCATCTTTGATACCTCTCTCCATGGCCCACTACCTTCCATTATTTGCCAAAACTATCCCTGATATCTTTATAAACATCTTTTGAACCCATTTCCTCTCCCACTCATCTACCCTGTAGTCCAAGCCCTCATTACTTCTCACCTGGAACATTTATTTCCTATGATGTCCCCCCTGAAATCTATGTTTATTTTGTCTCATCACCAAGCCAGTCAGCCCTTAAGCAAATAAATTGCAAACTCTTAGGGGGCGCCTGGGTGGCTCAGTCAGTTGGGCGGCCGACTTCAGCTCAGGTCATGATCTCGAGGTCCGTGAGTTCAAGCCCCACGTCAGGCTCTGGGCTGATGGCTCAGAGCCTAGAGCCTGCTTCAGATTCTGTGTCTCCCTCTCTCTCTGCCCCTCCCCCATTCATGCTGTGTCTCTCTCTGTCTCAAAAATAAATAAAACGTTAAAAAAAAATTTAAAAAAATTGCAAACTCTTAGCCTGACAGTCAGGAGATTTCACATTTTGGCTCAACCTACCTTTTCAATGTTTTGTTTCCCATACTCCTCTTTGCTTGTATCAAATTGCTCTGAACAAACTGCTCCTCTGGATAAATTCAGCACTTTTCTGACTTCATATTCATTGTCATGCTGTTTCCTTCCTTGCATATCTAAATCTTCTGTCTTTTTTCAAGACTCATCTCAAATACAATCTTTTACAAGAAAAACTTTCCTGATCCTTAAATGGGTAAAATATCTATTTCCTCTAAATTTGTTGATTTTCGAATCTCTTTTTTCATCAATATGTTGAAGATAATACTACTAACCCTGTATGATTATTATGGGGATTAAATAGAATAACATATGTAAAGCAGTGTTTGGTATACAGTGTGTGTTAAATACAAGTTTGCTCCTCCTTTCCTTTTATTGTCTTGTAGAAGCCTATACCAGTTTTTTCCTGTTTGTGCATGTATCCTCTCCCTTACAGGCTAGAATCACTTTGAGTACAAATCATGTGAATCTTTCCAGGAATGTTCTTATTAATCAACCTGATAAAAACAAACAGAAACACTGAACACTGAATGAGCTGCTGAATTTTGATACTTATCTTTGAGGCCAATTTTTTTTTGAAATCAAAGTTTTTTTTATTCATTTCATTTTGACATTTAAATGTTAAATGTTTTTAATATGTTTTCTGGATATTTAACAATTAGATTCTTAGGACCCAGAACTTTATTCTTAAAAAATTATATTTTTCAATAAATTTACTTTGATTCAATTAAAATATTTATTGGATATCTATGATATGCTGGGAACTGTAACCAGTACTTGAGAAGTAGGAGTTTTTCCTTTAAAAAGTAAAGTAGCTCAATTCACAGATTGTTTGAGACTCTCAGAACAAAGCATTATCTCGTATGTTAGATGATTGTGATAAAAAGTATAATTTTATATCTCTAACTAGGAAGATACTGTGTTTTAATTTAATATTGACAAATGAATTGAGGGTTTTATTGCTACAACTAGTAAATGCCTTTTTTTGTTTGTTTGCTCAGTCTATAGGTTTTATTTATTTATTTATTTATTTATTTATTTATTTATTTTTTAGTCGATAGGTTTTAATAAGAATAACAGAGTCTAGTGGATTAATCATTAAAAGCCAACTGACTTAACTCTTCTAATGATCAGCTATGACCCTGTGTCTCTTTCTACATTATGATTTTTAAAAACATGTATAGTTAACTAATATCATAATTATACATAGTTTAGGCTGTTTCTTCATAATGGCAAAATGAACTCGGTAAAAAAAGTGCAGATTATGAAAACTGTCCAGATGTTTTCACTTCTGTACCACCGATTGTTACATTTGGTCCTCAGAAACCAGACTCTGAGAGTTTAGTGTGAGGATGTTTGTTAAGTAGTGTCCTTGGGCTCAACACCTGTGGAAGAACGAGAAAGTAGGCAGGAATCGGCACAAGTCAAGCTGTGACGTGGAACCAGTGACAGTCTTGGTTTACTCCATGAACAACTCTAGAGCTAGAATGGTTTTTTAGAGTTGTACTCCCTTGTGTCAAGATGATCAGGTCTTTTGCTCTCACATTAATCAGACATTAAAAACGGTCTGCCTTATCAGTTGGGGTTCCTGGGTGGCTCAGTCCGTTAAGCCTCCAACTTCAGCTCAGGTCATGAGCTCACAGTTCGTGGGTTCGAGCCCTGCATCAGGCTCTATGCTGACAGAGCTTGGAGCCTGCTTCTGATTCTGTACCTCCCTCTCTCTCTCTCCGCCCCTCCCCCACTCATGTTCTATCTCTTTCTCTCTTTTTCTCTCTCTCAAAAATAAAATAAAAATATTTTTTAAAAATATTTAAAAAAATGGTCTGCCTTAGGAATTGAAGTGACCTTGGATGAGGCAGCTCTCCTCGAAAGGGGCTACAGCCAAAGACCATCTGGTGGCAACACTCCCAGCTGCTGGGCATAAATCCTTCATGGAAGGGAGCCTGTCGTACATACCACAGTGTCCATCAGTAAACCAGGTTTATTGCTTCCTCTTATACACATGCTCTCTGAAATTATCAAATGATATAGCCTAGCAAGGTCATGGCTCTAGTGAAGAAAGAATTCAGACTAGTTACTTGGCTGAATCAGTCTGTTACATGACAAATATTTGGTTCAGCATCTCCATGTATAAACATACTGCTTTTCAGTTTCTCCACTTGTTAAACAAATGAACCAGAGGATGTATGGATCTCAGCAAAAGACCTTTAACTGACAAAAGCAATAAAAGTAGAAATTTCATCAGAAAAAAGTTCTAGTTAAGTCCCAAGGTCATTAGATATTCAGTCCAGTCTCATGTCTTCTACAAGATAAAGAGTACTTACAAGAGGTCGATCAGAGAAATCACTCTGAGCCACTTAAGTGATACTAAATTAAGAAAAGAACCAAAGTATAGTCTATACCAATATGTATTAGGGCAGAAAAAAATGATTTGATGGAAAGAAGTTTAACAGAGAAGTTGAAAACAGTATTTTTCCTTTTATTAAAAAAGTCAAATAACAGCATACCCCAGAGTGTATTAAATATTCCTGACACTTAAGATTTGAAGACAAAGATAAAGCTGTTTTGTAATCCAAACCATAATAAAAAGAATATCATTAAATATTAACTGGTTTATTCATTGGTGAATAACTTTGAAAGCTACAAGTTTTGTTCTTTTTAATTACCTTTCTTTATTCCTTACCTCCCATCCCTGTTCTGTCTCAGTGGTTTTCTGAAAATTGAATACAAAAAAAATCTGAAGGGTCGGTCATTTTAATAAATAATTCTTAAAAATTATTAGAAAAAGCAACAATAAAAGTGCAAACACTAGCAATCTATTATTCTCAGTTTTTAGATGATAAGCTATTTAATGACAGTCCTCTCAAGAAGGGTGGCTGTGTGTTAGTAAACTTTGATCTAATGAACTCATCTTAATTTTAATTAATTAATTAACTTAATTAACACATCAAGTGGGAAAATCTGTTTTGCTTCAATCCAACATACACTTTCTTTTCTAATTTTTTTTTAACGTTTATTTATTTTTGAGACAGAGAGAGACAGAGCATGAACAGGGAGGGGCAGAGAGGGAGGGAGACACAGAATCTGAAACAGGCTCCAGGCTCTGGGCTGTCAGCACAGAGCCCGACATGGGGCTTGAACTCACGGACCGTGAGATCATGACCTGAGCCAAACTCGGACGCTTAACCGACCAAGCCACCTAGGCGCCTCTAACATACACTTTCTGAACAATTTTGCTGTAGTTTTAAAATCTCAGTAGAGTACAAGCTTAGGAGTAAGATTCTGGTTAGGAAGAGAACTGGGGAGCTCATTGTGAAGCTGAATGTTTATGGAAAACATGCTGTTTAACTTGGATTTTATGTCCATTTAGGGTGTTCTGAAAGCTAATGGGGATGGTGGGGCAATGGCTAATGATCCACAGCTACTGTTGCCTGCTACTTGCAGGATGCTCTGTTGGGTACGGCTCTTATTAAAATAATTTTAAAAACACAATTTACCTCAAGAAATTAACATCAAGAAGTACGGAGTGGTAGTGGGGAAGAAAACACAAGTGCATACATATAAAAGCTAAGGGAATGAAAAGAGAGACTTTATACCTATTTAAAAGGATCAGAATCTGTATCAGACAAAGTGGCACTGGAGACAGACCTTAGAACATGGACCTTAGAGAGCTTGACCAGCTCACACACTATGATTATTTATGGTGTTATCTACACATGCAAAAATGAAGTAAAAATTAGATGACAATTCAGTTCAAAGAAGTAGTGACTTAACCATCTCACAATGAATCCAAACTTCTAGGGTTCATTATTTGAATATTCACTTTCATATCTGATTTTATATTTAGTGCATGTAGGTACAGTTTCATTTGCCCACCGAGGCAGTTCAGTAATTACTACAATAGAAATAGCATCTCCAATGCTAATTTGATGCTGATCCATATCTGATGATGTTTTCACACATCTTTTGTGAGTTAAGTCAAGAGGGTTTGAAAACTGCCAGATTTTATAAAACAATTATCTGCTCAATACCGTATATGAATAACACTAAACTGAGTTCTATTTTGTATTTAGGCCAACAGGTGACTCCAGCAGGAATTCTGAAGAGCCATAATGATGTGACAGTGAATAATGAGTAGTACCTACTGTGGCAACTCCTCAGCTAAGATGAGCGTCAATGAAGTATCAGCTTTTTCGTTGACTCTGGAACAAAAAACTGGCTTTGCTTTTGTTGGGATTTTGTGTATCTTCTTAGGACTTCTTATTATTAGATGCTTCAAAATCCTGTTAGACCCGTACAGTAGCATGCCTTCCTCTACATGGGAAGATGAAGTTGAAGAATTTGATAAAGGGACATTTGAATATGCACTTGCGTGAGAGTTCCACCTTTATGGTTTTTTAGAGTTATGCCACTGGGACCCATGGAAGATACAACTGTAATCTCGAGCATGCTGGAAGAGGCTCACTTCATCCACTAAATTCAATAAACATGTATGGTTGGCCAAGTCATCTAATCTCTATGGACTTCAGTGAGGAAGCTAACCAGAGGATTTTTAATGTCCCTTTCAATTCTAGTGCCCTATGAACTCTGTGAACGTATCGGGAAACCCAGAGATCTGAGATGAATGAGGATTTAGGATGTTACGAAAATTTTTTCAGTTTAGGAGTCTCAATTCTGTGGTTTGAATTCTAATGTTGACTTAGCCAAGAAGCTTTATGACCTATAAAGCTGTCTAAGAGGAACCTTTCCATATCTACAAAAACAAGGATAAAGAAACCTATCCTGCATATCTTGTAGGAATGTTGAGAGGACCAAGTGATGTAAGATGAATGTGAAAGCAATATGAAAACCATAAAACATTGTTGAAACATACCTTGCAATCATTTATTATCCTCATTGGTAATACTAATAAGGATTCTCAAACCTAAAGAAGCAATGGCTTAGTGTAAATTATTCCTTATTCAACCTTCATTCTCTTCATTTGATAAATGAAAAGATAGGATATTATTATAAAATAATAACAGCTACAAAATTTTGACTCTTTATGGTTATCAAATTGAGGAATATAGTAGGAGATAAATAAATACAAAACTATTTGTGTCACTTGAGAACACAGAACTGCCAAACACACAGAAAAAAGAATGACCAATATTTACTAAGAGTTTGCACGAAGTTGGGTGCTTTCCATTTACTATGTGATTTGATCCCCTTATGAATCCTTTGAGTTCAACACTACTATTTCCATTTTATTGTCTCAGTGTCACAGATGAGGAACTAAAGCTGAGAGAGATTACATAACTTCCCAGGGTCATCAAGCTAGAGAGTGGTTGTGTTAGGAATTGAATATGGGCAGTCTAATGTCAGAGTCATTATTTGTAAACATCATGCTGTGCTCCCAGACACTATCCTCAAGATTTCTATATATCTTAGAACTATGGTTGCTGCTCAGATCACTCCAAAACCAGTTGTGTCAGATATGATTCCCTGATACTTTCTGTCTCCTAATAGATTTAGAACACTTCTGTGTTGGCTGTTGATCTTTTGGACCAAGCCCACACCTCAAGGAGGCTCTTTGAGACCCATTAGGTATAGGAGTGTCGGCCTGGGACACCTTGTAGTCAGTTATTAGTTTGGTCCAAGAACACCTCATTGAGCCAAGTCAGCTGGACACACTGAAAGTTGTATGTACCAGGACACTAAGCACCTCCTTTGTGAACCAGGTTTTTAAAGTACTTGCTAAGATATCTAGCTAAGTATAAGATGCACCTTTTGTCTCCCAGGAAAGACATCCAACAAGACCCTGCATTTTGGTGACTAGAACATAACAAAGTCAGATTTTTATTTCAAAAAGAAGACCCTAAAACCTAAAACACAAGAAAATTTATGAAGTATGAGCATTATTTCTGAAATTTCAACACTCACAAGCTTTTCATATCTCATCAATTCCAACATAGTATTATTTTCAATCCCACTAAACAGAAATTCTTTTAACCAAAAGTGTCTTTATCCATAGCATTTATTCATGATCTATTGTTCACCTTAGACTTTTGGGGGGGTGGGGTGGAGAAAGAGTGGTCAGTGTCTGTATTTTCAGAGCCAGAAACAATATAAAAAATATGAAGGATGGCCATAATATGGATACATCATGGAAACTTCATGAAATGCTAAGTCTTCTAGGAGAGTCCAATGTCATAGTCATATCATCCTCTAGCTTCCCCTTTCCTAGAGCCCCATGAGGGAAGACAAGAGAAAAAATAGAGGAGCATACCTCCAGACAGTTTCCTCCTATTACCTTACTCCTATGTCTGAAAGGCCTAAATTGAGTTTACCTTTCAAAGTTGGCTTATGGATGTTGTAATTTCATCCATATCCCCCAAACCATCTTCCATCTGCTCCAGAACATCTGAATCCCCTTAATAGAGAACAAAGACTTTCATTTCATGGTTAAGATAAAAGGCTTAGAACAAAAATGTCTGGTTGATATAAGACCGAGACTAAAACTAATTCACACAACACTGCAGTCAGACAGGCAGACAGCAAGGAAAAAGCAAAATTGACCACTATCAGATGCATGCACAGTCTTTGGCAGAGGAAAAGGTTAAGGAATAAATAGGTGGGCTCCTGAAAGAGGGATGGAGCTGAGGGAATGGTTGAAGGAAAAGGGGACTAGAGGTGGCAGAGATAACTGCAAGCGAATTCAAAGCTTCCCACCAGGACCAGGGAATAGGACTTATTTTGAGTACGGGCCCCATCTTAGCTGTTCTGAATAATAGCAACACCCAGATGAATCTGAAATGAATCTGAATCTGAAAGGCGTAATTCCCATGCCTTCTGTGTGGGGAGTCAGAACCTTTTGTCGAACAGATAAATGCCTTGTACTTAAGAGCAGAATGAGTTAGTGGTACATAGTTGTAATTCTGTCTCTATTTTTGAAACAGCCTCTGGCATTAGCCTGGCTGGTTAGCATGACATTTACCTAAGAGCGTCTAAGGAGTTTTACTTAGGTATCTCCAGACCCTTTTCTACAATCCAGCATCTGTTCACCAACTTAACTTTCCTCCTACTTTAATAGGCATAGTACCTATCCCAATCTCTAACAATTCACTTTGGAATCTTGGATATGACTAAGTAAAAGTCAGCAGTCAATTGTAAATATTTCCAACATAGTAAAAGCAAGTGCTAAGTACAAACCAGTGCTGATCTAAATCCTATACACAAATTAACTCATTTGATCTTCACAGTAACTTTACAACAAGGTAGATAACATTATTATCCACAATAGCATTTTACAGATGAGAAGGTTAAGGCTCGGAAAGACTGAGTAATTCGCCAAAGCTCACGCAGCTAGGAAGTGGCACAGCTGGGATGCAAATTGAGTATACTGACTTCAGAGTCTTGCTCCTAACCACTGTGTTTTGCCACAACGGTGCTGCTCAGGCAGGTGGAAATCACTTGGGTAGTTTCTTATAAAACACAAGGTGGATTCATTCAATCAATCTGATTGAAAACCAGTGACAGGACCTGTGTGGAGGAATTGTTTGTGCTGTCTTAATAATCACCACCTCACAGATTTGAGCAAAACCTGTTTCTCAACAACACTAAAAAAATGGGTTTGATATAAATGTTTTGCCAGGTAGAGACAAAAAGGTCATTTAGCAATGCCACTGGGAACCTTACCCACGGTTTCATTCCTGCTTCAGTTTTTCCACTAGGTAGAAATATTTTCAATAAATCACCAATTCTACATTCAATCCGCTCACTTCCCATGCAGAGAAGAATTCAGCTAGTATCTACTATAAAAAAGAAAATAATCTCAAATACCATTTTCTAGTTACCAAGTATAGAAATTATCTCTGGAGGCCTAGATTTTGCTGTACATGTTAAATAATAGGAGGCCACCAGGAATCGTGAAGACAATGGGATTGAATTTATTTAGCCCCAAACAGCTGAAGCACTGATTATATTTTGGTGGATTATTACTGTTGAGCAATCCAACTTCCCTTATGAATTAAAGAAACTTAATGTGACTTTCTGTCTAAATGAATTAATGATTTACTACTGGTTACTAGTTGATGAAGTACTTAAGGTTCCTCAGGGCTAATGACTGGGCAGGGCCCACAGTATTATTCCAGGCCAATCACTGCTCAGTCACCTCTTTCAAGGAAGGTTCTAACCAATAAGAAGCCCAAGGTTTTGGAGTGAAAGTTAGGTGCCCCATATATGCCTGGGTGGTGTTGAAACAGATAAAGCTTCCTGAGAAGAAGGCTTCTTCTGATGGTAAGTTAAACATTTCTGGATGGGGTAAAAATCACACTTAATATTATGTCATAAAGTAGATCCTGAGGAATGGAGTAAAGGTGAGGCTGTCAAGGACTATGAAGAGACATGGGATGATAAAAACTAAAGAGATAACAGCCTCACTTATAGTTTCGCCCCAAAAAATGTTCTTTGCAAGTTGAAGTTAAGATATTTTTTTTAATTCAAAGAAATAGCCTAGTAACTTCAGGAGACAGGCACGGTTTTGTTTGCATTTGTCTGCTTTTCTAAAAAGCCAAAATTTAAGTTATCAATAAAGAACTATTAATCTCACTAAAGAATGTACTAAGATGGCGCATATCATGGATGGTAAAAGAAGTGATTATGTAGTCTGCCTCTCAGTCAAATTAAAAGCTTCTCAATGAATTTGAGACTATTTCATTAAAGAGAATTAACAGGGCATGATTATCTTACCTAAATATAGCGTACACCTTTATTAAGGACTGAGATTTATTTCGTTACACTGAATACCTATATATTTTTAAAGATTCCATGATAGTATTTGCAAAACATAAATGTATGAGCAGATGAGAGGCTAGTAAAAGATCCATGAATTTACAAAGCTATCATCTTCACAGGATTTATTTTTAAAAATTAACAAGCATGTATTTTTTAGAAGTTAAAAAATATTTTTAAATTTTATAATCATCATGGAATATAATCATCATTATTAGATAGTATGAATTCATGTCTATAAAAAATACTTTGCAGTTTCAACATTTAGTACTGTCAATGAACTGTGTTTCAGACTGAGAATATTCTCATCTTCTCTTACTGTACTCACTGGTAGAGTTATATCTTTTCTAAAATCATATTAAATCCAACTGCACTGAGTCCAAACAAATGCTACAAACATAGATAATATTTTAATGACTCCATTGAAAATTCTGTTCGCTGAAGCAGGTCCCTAGTTATTTATTATGGGATTTAATTGCTCAGGTGACTAGAGTTCCCGGACAGGTAATTTTTAATGGAATGAATTTAAGATATTATATGTTTTGTAACAGAAAACTCTGCCCTCATACCCCTATGCCTACTTAAATGTATTTATATTACTTGAAACAAGTTTAATTTTCTTTTTCAATGGCAGCTTTGAAGAACATTCAAAGGATGTAGAGGAGAGAAACAATACATCAAGAATCTATTTGTTGAGTCCTTCTAGAACAAAGGCCAGGAGCTCCCTAATGTAAACACATTAAAGTTTATTTTGAGGAGGAAATACATAGATTTTTTTAAAAAAAAACATAAAGTAGACAGCTTAGTCCCCCCCAAAAAAATCCATTTTGGAAGATGTCACTGAACAACTCTTCCAATGTATTTCTGGATTCAACGCCCAGTAATAGCAATCGCTTTCAAGTTAATGTCATAAATGAGAGCCACGAGAGCAGCGCGGCTGTGGATAATAACACCGATCCTCCACATTATGAGGAAACCTCTTTTGGAGATGAAACCCAGAACAGATTCAGAATCAGCTTTAGGCCTGGAAATCAGGAGTGCTATGACAATTTTCTCCAAAATGGAGAAACTGCTAAAACAGATGCCAGTTTTCATGCTTA